TTATATATATATATATATATATATCTATATATATCTATATATATAGATATATATATAGATATATATGGGATTTTGCGCACCCGTGCTGCCCTGTAGCAGTATTTCTGCTCCAGGGGGGTCAGGAAGCAGTTACAGAAGTGTTTTGCGTTACGGCTCTGCATTACTTTAACTGAGAATTGCGCGGTCATGCAGCGCTGCACCCAAATTAAATTTTTTCCCACAAAATTGCTTTCTTATGGTGGTATTTGATTGCCTGTGCGTTTTTATTTTTTGCTCTATAAAAAGAAAGGACAGACAATTTTGAGAAAAAAAAAACTGTATTTTGGACTGTTTGCTATAAAACATGTCCAGTAAAAAAATTTTAAAATCTAATTTAGTCATAAATTTAGGCCAAAATGTATTCTGCGACAAAAAATCCCAATACGTGTAAATTAAATTGGTTTACATGAAAGTTCTAGTATTTACAAATGGCGGTATAGATACTGACATTTTTTTTTAATATACTAATAATGGCGGCGATCAGCGACTTATAGCGGGACTGCGGCTTACATTCTAACACTGGGTGGTAACTGACTTGGTGTCACTGACATCCCCAGTGACAACAATGCAGTGATCAGTGCAAAAAAAAAAAACCCACTGACACTTTACTAATGGCACTGGGGAGAAAGGGGTTAACATTTGGGGGGCAAAGGGTTAACTGTGTGTAGGGAGTGTTACTAGGGGGCAGGGGGTGTGCGCTTCACTGTAAAGCACACTGCTTGGGATGGCTGTGCTCAGCCATCCCGATCAGTGTGCTGAAAGCTGACAGGGAGAAGGGCTGCATTGTACTCCCTGTCAGTGTTTGCCGGTAATCACTGGGTGCCGGCAGGTAATCACTGACTGGGACCTGGTGATTGACACCCGAGCCACGATCGGCGGCGCGGGTAGGGCGGTTGCGAGCCACGCATGCACCCCCTACCCGGAAATGCAAAATCACATATATATACACACGTGATTTTGTGCAGCGGGCCTGCCCTGCCACAGTAAATGTACTAAGGGCGGGCCTTAAGTGGTTAATGGGGATTCTAGACTTTTCTGTACACAAACTGTGTACAGAACTCGCTTTGTTGCCTTGGTTGAAAGGAAGGGAAAATTGAGTATTTGAAATAACTTTAATTTTTTATACTTGACTATAGATTGAAATAGAATTTGTTTTGAACAACATTTATTGGTTAGCAATTATTTACATTTAGGTTGATAAATGTAAACTGGTCACATATCAGTGACCAAAATGTGCTAGCTGGTACAGGGAGAAGAACCCCAGCCCACTGTCACAAGGAGGGTCACCTCAAAATAACTCAACACACAGCCATTAATGTCTAAACCGCTGGCAACAAAAGTCAGTATACCCCTAAGTGAAAATGTCCAAATTGGGCCCAATTAGCCATTTTCCCTTCCAGGTGTCCTGTGACTCATCAGTGTTACAAGGTCTCAGGTGTGAATGGGGAGCAGGTGTGTTAAATTTGGTGTCATCGCTCTCACTCTCTCATACTGGTCACTGGAAGTTCTACATGGCACCTCATGGCAAAGAACTCTCTGAGGATCTGAAAAAAAGAATTTTTGCTCTACATAAAGAGGGCATAGGCTATAAGAAGATTTCCAAGACCCTAAAACTGAGCTGCAGGACGGTGGCCAAGACCATACAGCGGTTTAACAGGACAGGTTCCATTCAGAACAGGCCTCGCCATGGTCAACCAAAGTTGAGTGCACGTGCTCAGCGTCATATCCAGAGATTTTCTTTGGGAAATAGACGTATGAGTGCTGCCAGCATTGCTGCAGAGGTTGAAGGGGTGGAGGGTCAGCTTGTCAGTGCTCAAACCATACTCCGCACACTGCATAAAATTGGTCTGCATGGCTGTCATCCCAGAAGGAAGCCTCTTCTAAGGATGATGCACAAGAAAGCCCTCAAACAGTTTGCTGAAGACAAGCAGACTAAGGACATGGATTACTGGAACCATGTTCTGTGGTCTGATGAGACCAAGATAAATTTATTTGGTTCAGATGGTGTCAAGTGTGTGTGGCTGCAACCAGGTGAGGAGTACAAAGACAAGTGTGTCTTGCCTACAGTCAAGCATGGTGATGGTAGTGTCATGGTCTGAGGCTGCACAAGTGGGAGTGAGGGAACCATGAATGCCAACATGTACTGTGACATACTGAAGCAGAGCATGATCCCCTCCCTTTGGAGACTGGGCCGCAGGGCAGTATTCCAACATGATAATGACCCCAAACACACCTCCAAGACGACCACTGCCTTGCTAAAGAAGCTGAGGGTAATAGGTGATGGACTGGCCAAGAATGTCTCCAGACCTAAACCCTATTGAGTAGCTGTGGGGCATCCTCAGATGGAAGGTAGAGGAGCTCAAGGTCTCTAACATCCACCAGCTCTGTGATGTCGTCATGGAGGAGTGGAAGAGGACTCCAGTGGCAACCTGTGAAGCTCTGGTGGACTCCATGCCCAACAGGGTTAAGGCAGTGCTGAAAAATAATGGTGGACACACAAAATATTGACACTTTGTGCCCAATTTGGACATTTTTACTTAGGGGTGTACTCACTTTTGTTGCCAGCGATTTAGACATTAATGGCTATGTGTTGAGTTATTTTGACGGGACAGCAAATTTACACTGTTATACAAGCTATACACTCACTATGTTACATTGTAGCAAAGTGTCATTTCTTCAGTGTTGCCGCATGAAAAAGATATAATAAAATATTTACAAAAATGTGAGGGGTGTACTCACTTCTGTGAGATACTGTACATGCACAGACCAGATGTTTTTACTATGAATATATTTGAAGAATTATTGGGGGTTTGTTGTACTCTGTTTTGTAACTTGTTTGATGTGTCATTCCTTGATTTCCTTTTTACCCCTTTCCTTGATTATCTTTTTATTGTTATTTATAGCTTTTTTAACTTTGCCTGTGAGCCTGTCAGGAATAGGCTCAGCACAGGTGGTGCTGGGGCTCACCTGCCTTGTGGGCTGCAGTACCAGTGCTGGCCAGCGGGTGCTCTCAGCAGCCAGAATCTCACTCCTGCAATCAAGCCATTACCTGAGGTTGATTGCTGGAGGTGTTTTTAAGCAATGGCCAGGCCTGCAGTCAGTGCCTTGGTGTTTGTTTCCCATGAGCCCCTGTACCTGGTCCTGTCATCTGCCTGCCTGTTTCCCCTGCTTGACTGACACTGATCGAACTCCGCCTGCACTGACCTCGGCTATTCCTGACCTTTCTCCTGCCTGCTCCATTTGTACCTTGTCTGCCCGATTGTTCCTGACCCGTCTGCCTGACCACTCTACCTCTCCAGCCTGACTACGCCTGTCTGTGTTCCTGAACATACTGACATTAGTTGGAGGTTTGGTTTTGTTTGTACTGTGCGTTGTATACTTGTGTAGTTCCTAATAAATTATATTCTTATACATCACTCCTGAAGCCTGCGTTTCCCTGTCAGTCCACACCCCTCTGGTCATACCTGGAACCCTGACAGAGCCACATAGGTTTTATGTTTAGCCTTTTGAACTTATTGCCCATGGAAATTTATTTTACAGTGTGTTTGCATACAGTTGATTTGAAACATTCCCATTTCTGTTCTGTGTTCTTTGATAACAATATTCCCTCCCAGTCTAAATCATGAAGAGCAGCTCTCAACCTTGAAAAATTTGCTGTCCTAAAATCAAGTGTTTTTCTTTTCAGTATGTGTTGTTGTTTCCAGCTTACATTAAATTAAATCATGTTATGGACACTGGTACTCAGATGTTATTTTATATGAACATTAGTGATAAATTCTGCATGGTATGAGATTACCAGGTCCAGCAGAGCATTATTTATGTTTCTATAAACTGTACCAGGACATTGTCTTGTAATTGTTTTAAAAATGTTCTGCCCCCTTTATTGTTCCAACAGTGCCATTATGTCAGTTAATTTCAGGGTAGTTAAATACCCTTATTGTAATTACTGTCTCAACCCTTGCAGCCTTTTCCGATCCATCCTGCGGGGATCGTTGGCTTTCTTTACAACTTACCTTTTTGTAGAGCAGGTCCGGTGTCACCCTGTACAGGTTGCAGGCCGACGATCCCGAAGGATGGATCGGATCTGCGGATTGGGGAGCATAATGGATCGGAGTCCGATCTGCGGATTGGGGAGCATAATGGATCGGAGTCCGATCCATTATGCTCAATCCGCAGATCAGATACATTCTGCAGGGAGCGTCGGAGGGGGTGTCACCAAGTGTTATCGCACCGGGTGACACAACCCTAGGGACGCCCCTGCCAACACCCAGGTTTGATGGACCCACCTGGGTCTTAGCTTCAGCCACTCATGGGCTGTAAATCTGGGTGCTCCCTCCAGGGCCTAATGAGGAAAATGTACCACACAGCTATGAACTACTAGCATTCATTTAGTTAGGTCACAGTGTCAGCGCTTCAGCTCCACATATATATCTTAAAGTGTAACAAAAGGCAAAACTTCTTTTAGTTTTGGATAGAATTAACAGGGATTAGAACACCTGCCAGTATTTAGTGCTATCTGAGCCCCTTTTAGGGAGATCCAGTCTTTCTATTTGTATTTCAATGTTTTTATTAATTTATAAACAGTTTAACTAGTTGCCGACCGCAGATAGCCGAATGACGACTGCACTGCGGCCGGCCAGTTCTGGGTGGACGTCATATGACGTCCCCCCAGAACGCGCTCTCCTGGGGCGCGCACCCGGCGATCTCCGTAATCGCTGTGTCCTACGGACACAGCTGATCACGAGATGTGGTAAAAGGCCAATCATACCGGCCTTTTACCACGTGATCAGCGGTGTCCAATGACACGCTGATCACAGGGAAATGCAAGTGCCGGTTCTCAGCTGCACTTTCCTCACGCTGTCAGATCATGAGGAAAGTACTGCCGAGAACCGGCAGTTGTCAGAGCAAGGATCGGCACCGATCATCAGGGCACTGATGATCAGTGCCCTGATGATCAGTGCCCAGCAGTGCCACCCACAAGTTCCGCCCACCTGTGCCCAGCAGTGCGCCCACTAGCTCTGCCCATCTGTGCCCAGCAGATCACCCACCTGTGCCCAGCAGTGCACCCACCTGTGCCACTCTGCAGTGTCACACACCTGTGCCCAGAAGTGCCACCTACCTGTGCCCAGCAGTGCCACCCACCTGTGCCCACCCACCTGTGCCCACCAGTGCCACCCACCTGTGCCCACCAGTGCCACCCACCTGTGCCCACCCACCAGTGCTGCCCACCAGTGCCACCCACCAGTGCAGTCCAGCAGTGCTGCCAGTCAGTGCCACCAGTCAGTGCCCAGCGGTTGTGCCAGTCAGTGCCCAGCAGTGATGCCAGTCAGTGCCGTCTATCAGTACCCATCATCAGTGTCACCTATCAGTGCCGCCTATCAGTGCTGCCTATTAGTGCCGCCTATCCGTGCCACCTCATTAGTGCTGCCTATCAGTGCCGCCTATCCGTGCCACCTCATTAGTACTGCCTATGAGTGCCCTTTAGTGCTGCCTATCAGTGCCCATCAGTGCCGCCTATCAGTGCCCATCAGTGCTGCCTCATCAACGCACATCAGTGAAGGAGAAAAATTACCTGTTTGAAAAATTTTATAATAGAAACAAAGAAACTTTTTTTTTTTTTTTCAAATTTTTTGCAATTTTTTAATTTATAGCGCAAAAAGTAAAGCGCCCAGTGGAGATTAAATACCACCAAAAGAAAGCTCTATTTGTGAGAAAAAAATGATCAAAATTTCATATGGGTACAATTTTGCATGACCTCGCAATTGTCAATCAAAGTGCGGCAGCGCTGAAAGCTGAAAATTGGCCTGGTAAATAAGGTGGTATAAGTGCCTGGTAGGCAAGTGGTTAAGACAGGAGCAACAAAACACGCCCACGCAGGGGCTATCAATTGCACATAAATGACAAAAACATTAGTATAAAACCAACAGTAACTCAAACTAAAGGCAGCTATCCACTGCCACACCAAAAACAAACAGAAAAAGAAAAAAGGAAAGAGGAGTACAAAAGGAAAAAGATAACAAGACCAAGAGCAGGGGTCCGAGAACACCAATACCGAGCAACATCACAACCCCAGACTAGCTGGGGGGAGCATGGGAAAAGCATATTGCAACCACGGCACCCATATTTTCAAGGATTTCTGTTGGGAGTTGTTACAGATACTTGACATCTGTTCATTGAGCATCATAGTGGTCATACGGTCCTCCACCCCCTAAAGAGGGACAAACGGGCTCTTCCATGCCTGAGCAATTGTTCTAGTGGCTGACAAAAACAAATAGGAAGCCAACTTCTTATGGTGAGCCCAGAGGCCCAGTATGGGACAATGAAGCAAAGCATACCGAGAATCCCGACGTATGGAGAGATGAAACAAGGTGAAAAGGAGGCCAAACACATGAGACCAAAAACGAAAGAGTCTCGGGCATGACCACCAGATATGCAATACATCACCACGATGGCCACAACCCCGAAACCCCAACGAGACAGCACAAACCGTGTATATTCCCAGGATAGAGAATCAAAGGCTTTATATATGTCTAAGGACAATGAGAATCCTGGGATTTTTCGCTGTCTAGAAAATGTATAAGATGGACCACCTTACGAACTTTATCACTCGCCTGCCTCCCAGGGATGAAACCTACTTGGTCCCTGTGGACCAGACTATGCAAATATTTATTGATATGAAGACTAAGGATCTTGCCCAATATCTTCAGGTCTTCATTAAAAAGAGAAATGGGCCGGAAGGCTTGCGGTTCCTGCACATCATTGGTCGTTTTAGGAATCAAGCGCGTCTAGACAGGGCAAAGGGCCCTGTCATTACTCATTGAAATAGTCAGCCAAAGAAAGGCACCAACAAGGTTGCAAATTTCTTATAATAGAGACCAGAAAAGCTGCCTGGACCTAAGGCCGCGGTGGACAGTAGAGATTTGATAGCTTGGAGCACTTCCGATACAGTGACACCGGCATTGAGGGCATCTGTGCTGCTTCATATAATCCAGGAAGTCGGAGATCTTGGAAGAATGATCTGGTTTAGCGTAAAGGCGCGACAGGAAGTCAGCGAAACAGGAAACAATCTGCTGGAGACTAGAAGTACAGCCACCAGTGGGAAGTCGCAATCGGATCGGTTTATGGGGTTTCCCTACAGAATTGAGTTTCCTGCCAGCATCGGATCTGGCTTATTAGCACAGGAATAAAAATTTGTGTTTGGTCCAACACAGGGCCCGTTCCGCCTCCGAAGAAGCAAGTAGGTCCGACTCTGCAGCCAGAGCGTCCCGTGTGCATTTATGGGCCGCAGATGGAAATGACTTCCAACGAGCATCCGCAGAGGCAGTTGAGAATGAAACTCAAAAGTTGGTGCTCTTGCTCCTGCTTCCAAATCAGCTGTATAACATGACCCTGCACAGTGGCTTTATACGTCTTCCACAGGGGCACTGCCTAAGAGACAGATCCCGAGTTTTCCGTAAAAATTCTATTTGTTGGCAGGTAACCTCAGAGGGCAAGGAGGAGTACCAGGGGATCATGGTCCGACCAGGGCGAGGAGGGAATAGATATCCGCCTGACCAAGGGAAGCTGCTGGACATGCATGAATATATGGTCAATTCTACAAAAACTGTCATGAGGATTGGAATAGAATGTAAAGTCGTGCTCAGTTGGGTGAAGTTCCCTCCAGACGTCTGCCAGCCTGCTGTCCGTAAAAGAGAGTGCATACGTTCCTCTAGCACGAAGTCGTGAGAAGGGGCTGCCCCCCCGGGCATAGCGCCTATCTAATGTGAAATCCAAGGTAACATTTGAATCTCCCAAAAGAAGAAGACCCTTGGAGTGTTGGGAAACGATGGTGCAAAAATGAGAAAAGAATTTATGCTGAAAGCGATTGGGCACATAGTAAGAGACAAAAGTAACCTCATGGTCCCAGAGGGTGCCCTGCAGAAGCAAATACCTGCCCTTGGGGTCCGCTATATTCCGAGCACAGACAAAGGGGAGATTGCGTTTGAAAGCTATCAGTACACCCCGGCATTTCTCAGGAGCCGAGGCCGTGTAAAAAATGGGGATAATGAGGTGAAAGATACCGTGGGGCGGAGGACTGAGAAAATCTGGTCTCCTGTACAATACCAATTTGTTGCGTGTTGAGGTGATGAAAAAAACATTTTGTGAATGTACTTTCAAAAGGGGTGAGACCATGGCGGCATCAGCACATCACGCTCAGCAGGAAAAGCATAAGTCAGCCAACAATTTCCACTCCCAATGGCGATCGGACCATGGTGTTCCAAAACCCTGCATAAAATCAGAAAAACCAGAGAGGAAAAGAAAAGAAGAAAATGACACAAGAAGTATGTACAACAGTACAATCGTATCACGCCAATGGTGACGTGCATACTACACTTGAAGGATACCAGTTGGGGGGTGGCTCTACCACTGGACACATGGCTGCAAATGAAAACACCAGAACATCAGGGGGCAAAAAGGCAATAAACACAATATAACAGGGTACCAAAGTAATAAAAATATCAGTCCCAGAAGAGAGAACATCCGCGGTGACCTCCCCAAAGAAACCCAGCTAAACTTAGGGGCCAACCCCCTCCGGGAGGATGACTACAGGCCGCCATGGTACCCCACAACACTGCACAAGTTGTCCCCCACCAACCTCCCAGTAGGACCAACACCCAACCTGGGTCTACCCAGGCCAACCTCCCACCCTGGAGCCCGAGGGAATCATCAGCCCATTCCACCAACCGGAACCCGAACAACATCACCCAGACCTGTGGTAGGCCGCAACAGCAAAAAGTCATAATCCGCAAGTCAAGGGGGAGCCCCCCCCCTCTTGAGGATGGAACCCAAGGGAACAGGCCGGATCAGGCCCAACCTGGAACACTAACAAACTGGGAATGCTCTAAGGGCCAAACTCACAGTCTCGTCAGGAGAGTCCAATGGTGAAACACAACTTGGGAAGTCCAAAATACATCTTCAGCCCGGAGAAGAGCAGGACGGACTTCATCATAGAGGGGTCTGAGGGAGGGCCCTCTTACTGTTGGATGACCGCTCCCAGAGGAAGTGGCCTCACGGGGATCGGATGAATGAGCTGGGCTCTGCGTAGCGCCTCCTGGGGAAAGAAGGTGTAAAGATTCCAGAAGAGAGTGGGCCTTCTCCGGCAACAGAGTGGCTGCGGCCCTGGTAGTTGAAGGTGAGGCGGAATGGAAAGCCCCAGATGTATTTAATTCTGTGGTTCACCAGGACCGAAGTGAAGGGCTTCAACTGGTGGTGCTTCTGAAGAGTGGTCTCGGAGAGGTCAGCGAAGAGCTGGTAACGATGCCCCTGAAAGTCTGGGTTGTTTCTGGCCGCCAAGAGGATAGTTTCCTTAGTGCGATAGTAAGTGAACTTGATGATAATGTCCCTTGGGAGCACATCCGGTCGTCTGGGGCCCAATGCATGGTGTATGCGGTCAAATTGGAGCCGGTCAATGGGAATGGTGGGCGTCAGCTCCTGAAACAGAGTGGTAGCGGTTGAGGCGAGATCTGTTACAGTTTCTGGGATACCCCTTCATCGCAAATTGCCGGTTGAAAAATTGCAAATTGAACGGTTTTTTTCGAAATCCTCAAGCCGGAGCAGCGTGTCCACCAATTCTTTCTTGAGGTCAAACACATCCTGTTAGTGACTTTCAATGACCATGGTCAATGACCGTGGCCGAAGCGTCCATTTTATCCTCAAGATCGTTCGTCCTATTGCTGAACTCCCAAATTTCTCGCAAAAGACGGTCGGCCAGCTTGGAAGTAGCGGAGGATAATTCTGACTTGAGCATAGATTTGAAGAGGCGCAGGAGCTCAGCATCCCTCAGAGCTGGAGTGGGGGACTTCAGGGAATCCTCTGATGCCTGGTCATCATCACTGCTGAGATCCAGCCCACCCGAGGGTAGCGGAGGCGCGGGACCCAAAGTTGAGGCCGGAGCTTCAGTTGCGGCCTCCGACGAAAGACCCGTACTTGAAGCTGGGGCGTCAGATGTGGCCTCCGGTGGACCCGAAATCGAGGCAGTGGCTTCAGACACAGTCTCTGGTATGTAGGCAACGAAATTCCAGTGAGGCCTGCTGGGTGCTGGAGGCGCGTAGGCCGCTGACTTCTTGCCCATCGGGAAAGCGGGGGACAGGGGGCTAGGAGGGGCTGGAGGGAGGACAAGCAACCCCCCCTGAGGGCTGTAAAATCAGCCAATGTGTCAAGCAGCCGAGGAGCAGGCCTACAATGCGGCTATCTAATCTGCTGATTTTGGGTTGACATCAGAACACTAAATATAGAGGGGAAATCTTCCATAGGGGACACTTGTTCTGATGACGCTGAGGACGCACCCAGATCCCCTTACTTTGGAGGATTTTGGTTTTGGCTATGGGCCAGAAAGTGAAGGGAAATCTCTCCAATGGGAGACAGGTGGCAATAAAAAAAACTGACGAGTTTATAACCCTCCTTTACACCTTACACCCATTAAGGAAAGGAACAGAATTCCTCTTTAATGTAGGTGATAGCAGGCACAGAAGTGCCAAAGCAAAGGGTATGAGTTTATGTGTTCTGCCTTTAGGGTCAAAACAGAGGGAGGTACTGTATGTGCATGTGTATGGGCTGCATCATGTGTAGAGAAGATTTGGTGTCACCCAGAATTTTTCACTAATGCAGGCTGAGGGGCCCAGGTGTGCCTCATTAAGAGAAAATGGGCCTTTAATTTTTCAGTGGGATTGGTAAATCCTGGTATAAGTCCTGTAGCCCAAATGCTTTGTTGATTATTGAGTGGGATGAAGCCTCCAACCCGGGGTCCATCTTTTGATGTTGTCCATACTTGCCGATTGTGCAGGTGTATGAGAACTGAGAATAGTTCAAGGCTTCATCATCTTGAGGAAACTGCTAGGGATCAGCAAGTGCAAAGACAAGTCAACAACTGGAAGATACAGTTGCTGCAGTAGCAGAGTGTGAACACTATTGTGTTCTGGCTGTGGAGACCATGCCAGTGATGGGAGACTGGCATGGGTGCCCTTTTGGGGAGAGTGCAATATAACACAAGGGTGAGCTTGGAGGGGAAATTATCACATTTTCCCTTGGCCATGGTTGATGTGGGGACGTTTGTGTACGTCTCTGTAACATTCTGGCTCTGAAGTTGGTTGATTGTTTTGCGGTCTGTCCTAACCTGAGGTGGGGAGTTGCTATGGCTGGACAGGGGATATTAGTATGTGATTGTTGCTTAATGTATGTATGCATATATTTTTCTTTGTCTCAGTTGGTTCCATCTGTCCCTGCCCATGCCATTTATCTCCCTATTGTTGCATTTAACCTTTGTGGCCCTGCTATTTATAACTATATTAGAGAGTTCTATGTTTGAAATACTTTGTCAGTTTTTTTTTTCATTTAGGAGGCTTTAGTGGGAGGAGTTTGTTTTTAGCCAATATTAGCCTTCTTGTCTCTCCCCTTTCTTTTTCTTTATAGAGGTGTAGAGGTTATTATCCTATGCACCTTTTGGATCAACCTTCTCTTCTCAGTTTAGGATCAATGCTTGGTTTCTGTGAATGATTTTATTGGTCAAATAGGTATACAATAATTATTTTTCTTTTTATTTCAAATGCACATTTGTATACACTTTACCGGCCAATCACTTTTCTGTGTAAAACATCTCTCTGCTTTTCCCCCTGGCTTGCCCCTGTTGGGGGAGTCCCAGATTTTGTCCACTGCTTCTGTGGGTTTACTGGCATACAGGTAGTGTTTATTGTTGTACATATGTCTTGTTATTTATTTGTTTACTGTTTTGATGTAGTATAATAGTATATTACTTCATTCAAATTTAGAGTGCTTAGTCGAACAACAGGCACCGAAAATAAAGGATTGGATAGAAAGAGTAGAGATGATATATAGAATGGAGGAACTGTACCATATGGAGGAAGATAAAATGGAGGTATTTCGTACAAGTTGGGAAAAGTGGGTACAGTTTAAAAATTCAGAGGTATACCTAGAATATGTGAAATAAGGAAAAGAAGGGAAAGGGGATAAATATAGTACAGTATAATACCAGTAATATCTAAGGTTCAGGATTTCTAGAATGAAGTTAAAAGTCCATAATCAAAGGGTGGGGGGGGGGGGGGATAGGTAAAGGGAGGGGTAAAAGGTCACTGAGATTAAGGTTATTTCTGGGGAGTGTTATGACAGAAATGTGTAATGTATACTGTTTTATTAGCTTTTGTACATTTATTACGGTGATTTGAAAGCAATAAAATACTTAAATTAAAAAAAAAAAAAATGCTTAGTCTCCCTATGTCTTCCTGAAGAATTGCGGTACTCCCACTAAATGCAATGACATTTTGGCTTCCCTGAACATCCCAGCTTACTTACATGATGTTTAACCACTTGCCTACCGGGCACTTATACCCCCTTCTTTACCAGGCCGGTTTTCAGCTTTCAGCGCTATCGCACTTTGATTGACAATTGTGCGGTCATGAAGGATTGTACCCATATGAAATTTTTATAATTTTTTTCTCACAAATAGAGCTTTCTTTTGGTGGTATTTAATTGCCGCTGAGCACTTTACTTTTTGCGCTATAAACAAAAAAAGTGCAAAAAAGTTGAAAAAAAAAACACCAAACATTTTTTTTTTGTTTCGATTATAAAATTTTTCAAACAGGTAATTTTTCTCCTTCACTGATGTACGTTGATGAGGCAGCACTGATGGGCACTGATAGGCAGCACTGATAGGCAACACTAATGAGGTGGCATGGATAGGCGGCACTGATAGTTAGTGCTGCCTATCAGTGCCGCCTATCCGTGACACCTCATTAGTGCTGCCTGATAGGCGGCACTGATAGGTGGCACTGATAGGCGGCACTGTATCATTATCAGTATAGACAGCACTGATAGGTGGCACTGACTGGCATCACTGCTGGGCACTGACTGGTGGCACTGCTAGGCATTGACTGATGCAACTGATGGGCACTGACTTGCACAACCTCTGGGCACTGACTGGTGGCACTGACTGGCAGCACTGCATTCATGGGCACTGCAGGGTGGCACTGGTGGGCACAGGTGGGTCGCACTGCTGGGCACAGGTGGGTGGCACTGCTGGGCACAGGTGGGTGGCACTGCTGGTTGGCACTGGTGGGTGGCCCCGCTGGGCACTAGTGGGCGGCACTGCTGGGCACAGGTGGGCGGAACTGGTGGGTGGCACTGCTGGGCACTGATCATCAGTGCCGATCCCTGCTCTGACAACTGCCGGTTCTCGGCAGTACTCTCCTCGCGCTCTGACAGCGTGAGGAACGTGCAGCCGAGAACCGGCAATTGCATTTCCCGGTGATCAGCGTGTCATTGGACACAGCTGATCACGTGGTAAAATGCCGCTGTGACTGGCCTTTTACCACATCACGTGATCAGCTGTGTCCGTAGGAACCAGCGATCACGGAGATCGCCCGGTTGCGCGCCCCCAGGGCACGCAGGAGAGCGCGTTCTGGGAGGATGTCATATGACGCCCTCCCAGAACTGGCCGGCCGCAGTGTAGCCGTCATACGGCTATCTGCGGTTGGCAAGAAGTTTAAATGATGTACTGGTATGTGTATCATTAAAGTAAGCATTTTTTTTCTTTTTGGCTCGGGTAAGGGAGGATCATATTCTGTCAGTTATTTTTTTAGCCATCTGTGTTCAATTGAGGGGATTTCCCTTCACTTCCTGTTTCATAGATATAGAGGAAATCCCTGCAAATTAAGGGAATATCTTGGGGTCCCCCAAGTCTTTTAATGATAATGCTAAACAGGACAAATAGAGAGAGGGAATCTCCATAACATGGGTAGATGGACAATAAAAACCTGACAGGTATTCTAATCCATCTTCATTCTGTCCAAAACTAAAAAAAAGTTTTGCTTTCAGTTATACTTTAACCACTTGCCGACCAGCCACAGTACTGTTACTGCGGCAGGGCGGCACCGCTGCGCATATATATATATATATATATATATATATTATTATATATATATATATATAGACAATTTTGCATTTCTGGGTAGGGGGCGCACGCGACCACCCTACCCGCGCCGCGGATTGTGTCAATCACCGAGTCCTGGCCGGTGATTACCCGCCGGAGCCCTGTGATTACCGGCAAACACTAACAGGGAGGAGGGCTGCATTGTTTACAATGCAACCCTCCTCCTTGTCAGTTTGGGCTCACTGATCGGGATGGCTGAGCACAGCTATCCCGACCAGTGTGCTTACAGTGAAGCACACCCCTCTGCCTCTAGTAAAACACTCCCATCACACAGTTAACTCTTTGATTGCCTCCAAATGTTAACCCCTTCCTCCCCAGTGCCATTAGTACAGTGTCAGTGATTATTTTTTGCACTGATCACTGTATTGGTGTCACTGGGGATGTCAGTGACCCCAAGTCAGTTCCCCCCAGTGTCAGAATGTCTGCTGCAGTCCCGCCATAAGTCGCTGTCGCTGATTATTAGTATAAATAAAAAATTCCAGTATCTATACCGTCATTTGTAGATGCTATAATTTTCACTTTTTAATTTACATGTATTGGGATTTTTTTAGCAAAGGCATGTCACAGAATACATTTTGGCCGAAATTTATGACGAAATTAGATTTTTTTAATTTTTTTTACTGCACATGTTTTATAGCAAAAAGTCCAAAATATTGTTTTTTTTCTCAAACATTGTCAGTCCTTTTTTTTCATAGCGCAAAAAAAAAAAAAAATGCACAGGTGATCAAATACCATTGAAAGAAAGCTCAATTCATGGGGAAAAAAAGGACTTAAATTTAATTTGGGTGCAGTGCTGCATGACCGCGCAATTGTCAGTTAAAGTAACGCAGTGCCATTACAAACCGCTTCTGTAACCGCTTCCTGACCGCCCTATAGCAGAAATACTGCTACAGGGCGGCACGGGTGAGCAAAATCATGTATATATACGTGATTCACACTCCCATGGTTTTCACGCTCCTCCCAGATAGCGCCAGATTGTCCGTCAGTACACCAGTAATCACATTTAACCCCTTGATTGCCAGGAACACGCTCATACACAATAAACCTCCACTGCTAATATAGTGTCTGAACGGATCAATATATTTGATCAGATCGGCACTATACCAGTGTTCACATTAGTATAGTGTCCCCAAAAATACAGCGCTTGCGGGATCAGCCCCAGTACCTGCCAGCACCTGCGTTTAGCCCCTGCGCTTACCCTCCTTTTCTCCCCCAGCAAGTGCCAGTGTCAATGTCAGTAGGTCACTGTCATTTGATAAATTGCACACAAAACAGCAGCGTTCACAGAATCAGTACCCATACTTCCCCCATTCACTGCCCAACCGGGAATTCAGGTGGAAACAACAAAATTTAACTACTCCCCTTGATTTTTTGGAGCTGTTTTTCACAGAAGATCTGTATGCATTGATTGTGGATCAAAGCAATTTATATGCACAACAATTTATTGCCGGCAACCCGAATTTTAACCTTGCCAGACCATTTCGGTTTCCAAAATTACATTTTTTTTGGGCCTAACCCTCAACATGGGCATTACTAAAACAAATGATTTGCGGTTGTATGGGTCCACAGACTCGATTCATCATATGCCCATGTTCTCTGCTACCATGGCCAGGCATAGATATGAGAGTACATTGTGTTTTATGCATTTCAACGACAATACACTCTGTCGTCCTAGTGGTGACCCTGAATTTGACTGGCTCCACAAAATTAGACCCTCTTGTCAATCACCTTAACCCAAAATTTGCAGATGTCTATACTCCCCAGCAAAACATCTGCTTTGATTAGTCCCTCATTAATTTTTCTGGCCACCTTGCATTCAAACAATTTCTCCCCAGCAAGCGTGCCAGATATGGGGTCAAGATGTATTAGACCTGTGTGAGAGGCCAACAGACTATACATATAAGTTTTGGATTTACAAGGGAAAAGATAGTCACGTGGAGCCCCCTGGATGCCCAGAATACATGGGGAGCAGTGGCAGGATAGTTTGGTACTTGGTGTCATCCAATTTTTCATATGGGGTAGCACTTTTTATTCAAGGGTGCCACTATTTAGACATTTGTACAATCTTGGAATTGGCGCATGTGACATCATGGACCTAATGTGTGCCCCTCATTAGAAGTAGGTGGATGCAGGGCAGTTAATTCTAATGGGTGAGCATACCTCACACTTTTTCTGGCACAGGTTTCTTCTCTTTTTTCATTTAGCCCACAGGCTGCATACAAAAAAAAAAAAGGAACATAGCATATATACCCAACAAAGACCAGCGCCGTACTGGTACATCACTGGACTTATACCAGGATGATGCCTACAGCTGCAGGCATTATCCTAGTATCGCTTTTTTCAACCACGATCAGCTTTCATGTAAAAGCAATCCTAGTGGCCAATTAGCTGCAGGATTGCTTTTACAAGCAGGGGGAGACGATGCCCCTTCTCCCCCGCTGCCTTCCACGGTCTTCTCGGGCAGTCCCGTGCCATCGAGGGAACCTGAGAATGCAGCCAGTGTTTCTGTCAGCTGACCATAGAGCTGATTGGAGACCAGAATGGTGCCAATCATCTCTATTGTCTAAGAAATCGGAAGCTATGAGTATTTCATCACTTCAGTTTCGCAGGATATAAACAGCGCCATTTGTAAATTGGGAAAAGCATCACACCGATCTTGGTGAGATTAGATAATGTAAGGACAGAGGAGATATCTAGAGTCTGATAGACCCCAGATTTCTCAAAAAAGAATATATGACAATGCCCCTTGAAGTTATATGGGGATATTTGCATTCCCTGTGATAGCATTAGAAGTTATAAAAAATAAATAAATAAATGGGTCAGTGTAAAAATAAGTAAAAAAATCTACATAACTTAAAAAAAAAAAAAAAAAAAAAAAAAAAAAAGCACCCTCGCTTAACCCCCCACTTCCCCCCCCGTGTGCGAGTGCTTACCCTGTGCCGGTATATAAACAGCAGTTGCACCATGCATGTGAGGTATCGCCGCGAATGTCAGATCAAAGGCAGTAATTCTAGCACTAGACCTCCTCTGTACATCTAAATTGGTAGCTTGTAAAGGCTTTTAAAGCGTTGCCTATGGATATTAAAAATTTCTGCAGTTTGTCGCCATTGCACGGGGCATGCGCAGTTTTAAAGCATGTCATGTTTGGTATCCATTTACTCGGCATACCATCATCTTTTATATGTTACCAAATAATTGGCCAATATATTATGTTTTTGTGCATTAAAAGTAAAAAAAGTGTATTTTTTTTTCAAAATATTTGCGCGAGTATTATGTGACATAAAAAATTGCAGCACCCACCATTTTATTCACTAGGGTGTCTACTTTTAAAAAATATATAATGTTTGGGGGTTCAAAGTAATTTCCTATCAAAAAATAATGATTTTTTAATGGGAACAAAAAGTGTCAGAAAAGGCTTGGTCTTCAGGTGATTAGAAGAGTGAGTGATGTGTGGCATAAACTTCTAATGCTGGGCATAAAATGCCCCCACCCCCAAAATGACCCCTTTTTGGAAAGTAGACATCCCAAACTATTTGCTGAGAGGCATGCTGAGTCAATAGAAGAGTTTATTTTTTTACCACAAGTTTTTAGAAATTGACCCAAAAATTTATTTTTTTTTTAAACAAAATTGTCTCTTAAATGATTTATTGCTCACACATGCCATGGGTATATGTGGAATTACCCCAAAATACATTCTGCTACTTCTCCCGAGTATGGGGGTGCCACATGTGAGATACTTTTTGGCAGTCTAGCCAAGTACAGGACCCCAAAATCCAATAAGTACCCTCAGGCTTTTAAAGGGCTTTATTTCCTCATTACATTTCCTGACTACCTATCACAGTTTCAGAGGCCCTGAAATGCAAGGATAGAACCCCCACCCCAAATGACCACTTTTTGGAAAGTAGACACCCCAAGGAATATGATAAATATTCAGTGTTACAATATACCTACCATTCGATTTTTAGACTGATCATTTCTTTGTGAGTGGGCAAACATTCAAAATCAGCAGGGGATCAAATACTTATTTCCTTCACTGTAAATGACAACTTTGTGTATAAAAAAATGTTTTTATCTGTCACGGTTCACCTCACATGCACATGCCCACAACGACTAGCTAACCGAGGCGCGCACGTGTGGCCGTGACTTGGGGTAAGAGGGAATAAGGGAGACGTAATCTGAATATATCCAAGTATATAAGACCAGCCGTGATATACTTTTACAGCCCGCACTACCTCTTGGCCACCACTGGAGGGAGACTCCACTCCAATCCAGCCGACCAACCCCACACGGGCAGACACAAATCTTACATACAATCTGGTGCACTAATTAGGGTTGAGGAGCAGCCAGAAATCACACACCCTTCTAGGATTCCTCCAGCTATCCTACAAGGCAGAATC